TTAAAAAAAAAAAAAAAAAAAAAGAATAACCCTGTGTAGTAGGCAGAGACCCTAAGAGTTTCCAATGCTCAGGTGATGTCAAGTTTTATTTGCATAATAAAATCAATACTTCATATGTGCACTCTCCTTCAATATCCTGGAAATCTCTCCTAAAATTTAGTATCACAGAGAAATAAGAATTGGTATCAATACTCCCAAAATGATGCTACAGAATAAAGTTCTCCTCGTCGATATCCTTCTCCCAAATACTGTGTTTTGCCTGTTCACAGTTCAGAGATAAATAATAAAAATTGTAGTAGTAATAATAGTACCTTCTCCTTTGATGGCGGGGTAGAGGTAATGTGAGTAGAGAATTTTGTTTTCACATTCCCAAATCCCAGACCCTGTAGCTCTGGTTTAACACATCAAAGCCCTAAGCCGCTAAAGTTCACCTTATTTACATTTGCCTATATTTCTTGTTGGGGAAAAAAAAAAACTTGAGATTAACGAAAAATCCCCAAGTTCATGGGCTAATACACAATAAAGAAAAATTGCTTATTCAAAATGGTAAATGAGGGACTGGGACTGTAGCTCAGTGGCAGAGTGCTTGCCTACCACACATGAGGCACAGGGTTTGATCCTCAGCACCACATAAAAATAAAAAAAAATAAAATAAAGGCATTCTGTCCATCTACAACTACAAATATATATATATATATTAAACAACAACAAAAAATTACAAATGAGCCTCTGCAACAGAATGAAAGTTCACAAACCATAAAATAAGAATGTGGCCAGTTTGACCAGACTCATGCACAACTGTTCCTGGCCAAGAGGAAATTTTAGAAATGTTAAATATCATTAGAAGGTTTTATTCTTTTTCTAAGAAAAGGTCAGAATTAGTGGAACTTTACAGAAATTTGATATCATCTGAGAAAACCTTTAGGGAGAAAACTTGTCCCAAAAGAACCTGTCTTTCTTCTGGACTCACTCCACCTTGCCTCACATCCAGGAGCTTGGATGGATGATTCTGGGATAGTCTTTATATGCAAACAAATCCAGCCACTGTGTAGATTTGCCCATGATCAAACTTCATCAGAGAGGACTGTGTAACCACCCTGCACTCTAAATCAGCTGATCTGCCTCCAGGGCAAGCAGCCAGACTATGTAAGATGGTTCAAATTAAATGATTTCTGGCCTTCTAGAAAGACTGAGAAAAATATAGAAGCCCTTGGAGAGGTGTCCTAACAGGGTCATTTTGGATTCTTTTCAAGAATGACTGGCAACTGCAGGATGGGATTGGTACCCCAACACAAGGGATGGAATACCAGATGGCCAGCCAAAAGGAAGGACAATTCCATCAAGGAAAGCAAGATTCAGCTTTGAACACCTGCCAAGCCCAGAGAAGAATGACACCAGCTCATGATAGGACTAGCCAAGTTAAACCTTTCCTGCTCTTTAATCCAAGCTGTGCAGAAGCCAGAGATGGTTACTGGTGAAGGAAGAAGGAATGAAAGAAGCCACACGTGGACTCCTCCTCATCTGCTGCAGGTTTCTAACCTGAAGTAGCAACAAGCTTTAACTTCTCCCCTTGTTGCAACTGAGATGCTGCGCATGCCCTACTATCAGTCAGAGAGATGCTCCACCTAGGATTCTGACAGATGCAGGGATGCAGATACAGTATGAATTCATGGCAGCAGCAACCAGGAGCCACGTCTCAGCCAGAATGTTCCTATGTTTCCTGCTGCCTGGTTCTCAGCCATCCAAACATTTTCATGAGCTATACCCAATATCCTACCAATGAATTCCTTTTCTGCTTCCAAGAGCCAGAATCCTTTTTTCTAGTACTTGCAACTGAAACCACCTCTTACACACTGAACTGGATTGTTTTTATCTCTTGCTGACACCTACCTGCTATTGCAGAAGAAAATCATCCATGGAGCCAAAGTAACCACGGGATCCACAACAAGTCGTTCTTGTGATCTCACAGGAAGAACTTCAAATGAGTCACACAGAGTACAGACAGGAGTTTTTTTAGAAAAAGTGAGAGTATAAGTGCCCAGTGTGGGCACTGAGCAGAAGTGACTCTGGGAGGATGGTGTAGCTCTTACAGGGTTGGGGGTTATTAAGGGATTTGGATTCCTTTGATCTTACTTTAGTTTCTCATTTCCACTTATGTGGTTTATTGGGCTTTGTCTAGCCTGAACAAATTTTCTCTGTGAGGTCACAACAACCAGGTTACAAGGGTGATTGTGACATGGTTTCAGTGATGGCCTGATCACAAGGGATAGATGTAACATGGTCTTGAAACAATAGTTCCCTTAAGGGATGATAATAAACTATGGCCAGGGGAAGTTTCATATATGCTCAGCTCTGAACACATAAGATGCTTGTCTGCTTTGATAAAGTTCCCTGTGATTCCCAATCCTGTGACCTACGGATTCTCTTTGATGTATATGTCTGATGTCCTCCCTGTAAGTTACCCCCCACCATCCTGCTCATGGCTGTCAACACCTGCCAGGTATGATATCACCATCTTCCAAAAGCTGCAGAGCAACTTGAGACTACAAGAGTCAAGAGTCCCAGCACGAATCACAGATGGACTCATATGGGGACAACAGCGGGAGGCTCTAAAAAAGGGACCATTTACAAAGTCATGGGCAGGATATAGGGAAGTTTTGAGAGATGGTTCAGAGACCTCACTTACCGTTTTTGAATAAGCAAATTTGCTTTGCTAAATTTTAGGAGAAATTCCCAGAATTAGTAACAGCATGGTTATTACCCTTTCTAGGCTCAAAGTTAGGAGAGATCAGATACAAGGAACAGAAGGAAAGTCACACAAAGTGGCCATCTACGGAGGGACAGTGACCTTCAGTTGAGGGCACAGCCAATCTCAGGCAATTCCAGGGGAATACATGCCCTCCCCCTCTGATATCCTGCCGTGGGTCCTTCCCACCTGCTTATGCAACTCGATAGAGTCAGCATCCAGGGAAGAGAGCTGAGTGGTGAAGAGGCCCTTGGAAGGCATTTAGCACAAACATCTAAGTAAAAAGTCCCCACAAGCCCGAGGGGTATTCACCCAATCCCAGACCATTGCCCAGCCTTCCCCCAGACAACTCAAGCCCAGACTCCATCAGGACCCCAGAACGGGCTTCCAAAGTGGGGGATGCTTAGCTCAGCTTCCTCCTCTGTCCCTGGACTGCCTGTCATCTCCATTCCTCCCTCCAATCTTCCCTCACCACAGCCCCACTCCTTCCTCCACAGCAGACTCCTCCAAAGCCAGATGAGACTTTTTTTCAGTTGAGGACAAATCTACAAGTTACCGTTTCTGCCAAAAAGCCAGGGGCTATAAAACCACAGTGAAACCCAGATGCAGCCGAGAGACAGAAACCTCAGATCACAGGACGCTCAGATCCAAGAAACAAAACAGCAGCAAGGACATAGCCATTTGCCATTTGTACAAGCAACTGTCTGTAGGCATTTGTCTAAGAATATTAGAGGAACATAGATCTGCTAAAACATAGTTCAGAAATCGTTTCTACTTGATTGTATAAAGGCTATAAGCAATTATAAATGCAGAGACTGCAAATATTTTGAAACTACAGAAGCATGAAAGGCCTTGATACAGGGATGTAATCCTTATGACAGACAATCATGAGGTCTAGAAGCAGATCAATGAAAAACGCTGACCGAGGATTCATCTATTTCGACCTTCCACAAATATTTATTGAACACTTACTGTGTTCTGGCCACTGGGCTATAAAAGAAGTCAAAAAGAGCTAGAACAGAATGTTTTCCTTCAGCTGAATCTAATTAAGCTTTTCCCTGTTTCCCTAAGGAAGAGAGATTAGAAAAACAATAGCTGCCATTGTCCGGGCATTCACAATGTGCCAGGTATTCCAAGAAATGTGTCCCCTCTACAATTTTGCAGATCTAATAGATAAACAAAGACTGTTCTTATCCCCATTTTACAGTTTACAGGGCAATAAGTCACCAAGAAAGAGAGGGGACGGAAAAATACCTGAAATAGGACCACAGGATATAGTATTTCACTGGAGTACTACACTTTCCAGGGTGGGAGTTTTGCATGGGACAGTATGGGGTCATGAGGGAAAGGGGAAACCCATGCTCCCCATAGACTAAACTTTCCATCTCATTGATTCCCCCTTCTAAAGTTGTTTTCTTCATTCTCAGGTCCTCTGCCACAAGACAGTGCACTGACAATGTTTTGCCAGAGAATATTGATGCTTGGACATTTAAATCAATTAATGCATCCGTTTCAATTGCCTGATCTGTCAGGAACACCAAGTTCTCTTGCCAAATAAGTACAGAAGTGGAGGATGAGGGCAGGAAGAAAGAGTATATTTGAAGAAGTATTTATGATTATATAAAAAAGAGAACTAGTTATGCTTTCTTAAGATAAAAGCACTGATTAACTAATATTTTTAATCTAAAAAGACAATCAGGGAAGTACAATAGGGACTCTGCATTCAGACTGCCAGCATTCACCTCCCAGGATCAGCTCTTCCTACCTCACATGATTTTGAGAGGAGTCCTGAACCTTTCTGAAGTTCATAGAGATCATAATTGATTGGGTTAAGAGCTCGGCCATTTGTCATTTAGCCATCTTTGTCCATTCTCTATTAGGATGTGCTGCCCAGAGCCTACAGCACTAGAATGTTGGGGGCTAGAAAGCTACTCTGTAACACACCCGTTCACTTCTGCATTTAATAGCTATTTTTTGCATTGCTTCCAAGCCTGCTTGTGCCATTTATGCTTATGACTACAATCACAGATTTAATTAAATATTGTATACAAGCCAATGTGTTGATGAAAACTGCATCTGAATATTTTGCACAAGGCAAGTCACTTATTAAAAAAATTTTAGAGAACCAGGAGTTGAAAAAAAAAAAGTCTGGGGGAAAAAAAATTCTAGAAGGATTCTCTGCCCTTGCATCCTTCACACCTTAAAATTGTCAACCTCAAAGAAAGCCAAACTAGATATCATAAAATATGTCTAAGAAAAAGATAAGCAAGAAAGAGATAAGAAAATTCTCAGGGAAAAGACCTTGACCTCCATATGGTGAATGAATGCACACACGATGCATGTTTAGGTGTGTGTTCATCCACTTTCAACACTGTGACAAAAACACCTGACAGGAACAACTTGGAAAAGTTCATTTTGGCTCATCATATCAGAAGCCTCAGTCCACAGTCGGCCAACTCCATTGTCCTGGGCCCAAGATGAAGCAGAATATTTAGTCTGAAAAGAATGACAGAGGATAGCTTCGCAACTCATGACAGCCAGAAAGCAGATACAGAGAGAAAACAAGGATCCAAAGACAAAATATATAATCCCCAAGGCATGCCCCCAGTGACCCACTTCCTCTAGCCATGCCCCACCTTCCTACCACTCAGAAATCCCATTCAAATGACCCATCCATCAAATGGATCAATCCACTGATTAGGTTATGGCTCTCATTATCTCCTCCTTTCACCTCCTGCGCTAACACAGGAGCTTTGGAGGGATACCATATACCAAACCACAATGAGGTTCCAATTAAATGTTTAAGGTTATGTATTTCATGCAATTCCTTGACTTAATTGACTTTCGATTTTCTGGTCAAACATCCATCACAGATAAGAGTGTGGTCCTGGAGCTGAAGCTATAGTTCAGTGTTAGACTGTGTGCTTACTGTGCATGAAGCCCTAAATTCAATCCCTAGCACCACAAGAAAAGAAAAGAACTGAACTCTTCTGTACCTACCTCAAAGGGATATGGTGAAAATTAAACAGAAAAACTCAGAGGCCAATGACCGGCACATGGTAAGCTCTCTTTATAGTAGCTCCAAGGCAGTGAGTGACCTCAGTAGGCACACGGCTAATGTTAGCTATTAACCTAGAAGGAGTAATAGTAGTCTGGTAATGCCACTAATTAGTGGGACACTCACCAAGTCATTTTGCCTCTTGTCAACGATAAATGGAAGCATTTGGACTAGAATCAGCAATGCTCAAATTTTAGTGTACATATAAACCACCAGGGGATCATCCTAAGCTGCAGGCTCTGATTCAGTAAGTCTGGGTGTGGCCTGAGAAGTTGCCTTGGAAACAAGTTCCCATACAATGCTGATGCTTCCCATCTGCGAGCTACACTTTGAGTATCAAGGGCCTAGCAAGTTATTCTCAAACTCAGGCATGCATTAGAATCACCTGGAGGGTGTGTAGAAACAAAAATTCTGTGGGTAGGGACTAAAGAATTTGCCTTTCTAATAAATTTCCAAGTGATGCTGATGCCAAGGGTCTACCTTCCACATTTTGAGAATTACTGACTGAGAGGATCTCTAAGCAGTCTTTTCTGAAAAATATTTTTATTGGTGAATGATATTTATACATAATAGTAGGCTTCATTGTGACGTGTCTGCAACTGTACCTTACACAATACGTTTATTTCATTCCCCTTCTGTTCTCCCTCCCCTGATCTATTTGTTTTCTATTCTAGCTTCCTGAGATCCCTGTTTTCCCCTTTTTCTTCTAGCTTCCAAATATGAAAGAAAACATAAAACCCTTGACTTTCTGAATCTTCATTCACTTAGTTTGAGCTTCTCCGGTCCTATCCATTTTCCTGAAAATGACATAATTTCTTCCTTCTTAATGGCTGAGTAAAACTTCATTGTGTTTTTTTATACCTTTATGTTACTTTTTTTTTTTAATATGGTGCTGAGGCAAGTGCTCTGTCACTGAGCCACAACCCCAGTCCTCCATTGTGTTTTATAGATAAACATAAAGGTGTAAAAATATAAAAAAAATTGTAAAAATGAAAATGTTTTTAAAATAAAAAGTATAAATAAATAGCAGTAAGAACAGTAAAGTCGAGGAAATAAAACAAGGGGAGGGAGAAAGAAAGTATGAGAGAATGAAACGAACAAATTATATTCCATGCAAGTATGGTTATGTCAAAATGAACCCAATATCATGTATAACTATAATGCACTAATAAAAACATTAAAACTTCATTGTGTATATTTACTACATTTTCTTTATCCATTCATCTATAAACAGGCACCGAGGCTGGTTCGGTAACTTGACTATTGTGAACTGCACTACTATACGCATGTAGCACTATATATACTGACTGTAATTCCTGAGGATAAATACTAAGGAGTGATATAGCTTCTCAGAATGGGGGTTCTATGCCTAGTCTTTTGAGGAACCTCTACACTGATTTCCATATTGGTTGTACTAATTTACAACTCCACCAACATTGTGTGAGTGTCCCTCTTTCCCCACATCCTCCCCGGCACATTATTAATTGTATTCTTGGTGATTGCCATTCTAACTGAAGTGAGATGACATCTCAGTATCATTTTTATTTGCATTTCTGATTGCTGAAGATGTGGAACATTTTTTTTTCAAACATTTGTTGGCTGTGGTATTTCTTCTTTTCAGAAATGTCTGTTTAGCTCCTTGAGCCATTTATTGATTGGGTTTTTTTTATTCTTTTTTATTATTATTAATTTTTATTTGTTTTAATTAGTTGTACACGACAGTAGAATCATTTATGCACTTTGCTATATCATACATAGATAGGATATAATTTCTCATTTTTCTGAGCGTACATATTATAGAATCATATTGGTCATGCAGTCACATTTATACATAAATAATGTCTGTTTCATTCTACTATCTTTCCTATCCCCACATCCCCTGGTTTTTTGTTTCTTTTTTGCTGTTAAGTTGTCCTGTTTTGCTTTTTAATTTTTTTATTTCTTCTGGATGTTGATCCTCTTACAACTTGACTCAGAGACTCAGAATGTACTTGACCATTTCAATCTGAGCAAAATGCTGTTGTGTTATAGATGAGGGAGGCCTGGTGGGCTCTCAGCCTTTCTAATCATCAGGGGTCCTACCTGGAATCAGAAAGATAAAGTGACAAAATTCTAGCCCTCCGTCCCTCTGCAGCTCCACCTCTGAAACACCACTTCCCCCTCACACAATGAGGTTGCTTTATCTGTTTCCTTTCCCCCCTGTTCTTTCTTTCTCATCAAGAAGCCCATAAGGAAAGCTTCTAGCGGGGGTGGGAACAGAATTTCAGCTCTAATCCCAGTGTCTTGACAAGCCCAAAGATGCAAACATCACTTAACGTGACAAGCAAACCGCAACTACCGTGAGAAAACACTGTGAGTCAGGTAAAGAGATAATGTGCACAGAGCACGCTGAGCAAATAACAGCCCTTTGTGAGTCAGCATTAGCATAATTACTGAACATCAGTAATTGCTGAAATTATGTTCACCAGGATCGTTTATAATTCTAAGTGAGAGGCTTCTTCCACGTCTTCTCCCAGCAGGGAGGTGAGGATGGCCCACCAGCTGGTGCCAGACACTCAAAAAATCACTAGCCATCTCCTGAAGGGCTTCCCAAGCATGGACTTTAGATGGATTGTCCCCGTCAGGGAGCCTGCAAACTCTGTTGGAAATTTCTCCACATCTCTGTCTCTACTGTACTTTTCCTCTAGAACTTCACCCCCCTCTTGGTTCAGTTCATCAGTAAGACATAGTGATATGGTGAAATGTGGAGGGAAATGTTTGGATCATGGTGTGCAGAAAGTGCAATGGAAGCTGGATCACCTGTCCAGGTAAGACCTTCTTAAAGTCAGATTTCAACCAGGGAGCTGCCTCATGCTGCCAGATGCAGGGCAGGATATGAGAACTCCCATCCCTGCCAAAGGGCAATGAGTTTAATTGGTTGTGAACAGCACCTTGCAGAGTATAATAAGGGAGAAGAAACCTTAAAGCCCAGCACCATGTGGATCTACGTCAGAGATGGTACTGTGCAGGTGGAGGGAAGGGGTTCATCAGAGAGTAACTTTGAGCTCACTAATCCAGACACTGAGAGTTGGCTCCCATTAGTCCCCGCCCTAGGATGCAGATAATGGAACAACACAGAATTCACAAGAGAACCAGAAAAGGATCCAGAGCCTTGCAAAGGAGAAGAACTAAAATAATCAAGGCAAGATGATGCCCCTTAGCAACTGGTGACTAAGAGTCTCAAAATCGCATCATGAAGCAAATATCACTCCATCCCCTAAGGCAGGAAACCTGAGAATTGGCCTCATTACTCCCTCTCCTTCCTCTGCATTCCACTTCCCACCACTGCTTGAGCTACATAAGCACATTTCTGCTTGTTTTGTTTACTGCCATACCCCAGAGCCTAGAAGAGTTGAATTAATGAACTGAATGAATACTTCAGCAAATCCTGACAGCTCTACCCCCCAAG